ATTAAAACAAACAATAAAGTACACTTATAGTGTAGGGGAGACGGGGGAAAATATATAAATCTGAAAATTGGTGCTGATTGTTTCATTTAAACAAATCCATAAAGATTGTGACCGTGCTAGCGTCATTTAGTTTAAACAACAATCACCAAATTTTGGAATTGCATATTTTAAAAGCACATAACTTTAGTGTTATTTTAAGACCAAATTTGACCCGGCAACTAATTTGTTTCATACACTTTACTTCTGTCGTCACCATATTCTTTATGGATTTTCTTATGTTAAACAACGAGAACCAAATTCTCCTGGTTTGGATATTTTAAAAGCACAAAATTAACATAAAATTCTGGCATATCAATTTCTTTGTTTACAGTACTCTAAACTTGTTTTCGAGGAGTGGGGGTGCTAGCTTAATGTAAAACCAACACCTCCACTCTTGCTACTTATTTCCTGCGAATTGGTAGGAGCACAAAATTCGGGATTAGAGCAATAAATGAGCACCAAATTAATAATTATGCCATACTTAATTATGCCACAGTCCCAAACTTCTTTTTAGTGGTAGAAATGCTACGTTCATACAGATTTTTTATAAGCTTAACTCAAAATTGAAACTTGAGTTGACAGTATTCTACTCGGCGACATGTGAATTATAATATAATTAATGTTACATACCAGAGAGAGAAACATTTACATCTTTGCCTGCGATATCATCATTTTCAACTGTATTACATGTATCTGTAGCATCAGACTTTCCTTCAATATCGCAGTCCTTATTCATAATATTCATTGTCTTTCTATATTTATCCATAAAGATCACATCTAATGTGCTAATATCTGACATAAGTAAAAAGTATATTATTATTTCATACATACAATAAAATAACTATTACAGATATGGTTCATAATATTAGTTAAACTTACCATAACCATAACATGTATTTAATACGTCATCAGTCGTCTCCTCATTATTAGAGTCATTGGTTAGCATCACAGATTCCTTATCATAACATGTATTTAATGCGTCAATAGTCGTCTCCTCATTATTAGAGTCTTTGGTTAGCATCACAGATTCACTGTTGTTCTCGTTGTTCTTATCTATATAGCTTTTTGTATTAATACCTGACATAAATAAAAAGTATATTATTATTTCATACATACGATAAAATAACTATTACAGATATGGTTCATAATATTAGCTAAACTTACCATAACATGTATTTAATGCGTCATCAGTCGTCTGCTCATTGTTAGAGTCATTGGTTAGCATTACAGATTCCTTATCATAACATGTATTTAATGCATCAACAGTCTTTTCCTCATTATTAGAGTCTTTGGTTAGCATCACAGATTCACTGTTCTCGTTGTTCTTATCTGTATAGCCAGAGAGAAACCTGAGAGAGGCCATTCCGGCATTTTTCGTCAATTTTTCTGTGTCACATTTTCCGACGCGCCGCCTGAGAAAGTGCGTATCAACTACGTCGTTTCGCTCGGTAACCGCACATGGTTTGCGTCCGTGCTAATGGTTCGTGTCCGAACTAGCCAGTTAGAGGGGATATGCTGCGGCCGCGGCGGCCGCGCTCGGCCGGCCCGGCGCACAGTAGAGCCGTTTGCGCGAATCGCGGAAAAAATTATGTTACTTGTAAAATATGCAATGAATGATCAGAGAACCTTTCAATGTTGACTTATAAAATTTGCAAAAGTGTATATTTATTTAAAAATAATGATAGGAACAAGTATTTGATTGAAATTAAATAAAAATTCAATTTACATTTAATTTAGTATTTACGTATAAGAGCAAAGTAATTCTTGCGTTTCATCGCTTAAGTCTAAATTTTTTTTATGTGGTTTACTTCTTAAACTAGTTATTAACGGATCGGATGACACGGAGCATCATATGCATAATAACATATGCATAATCACATCTTCAACGCGGCCGCCGCGGCCGCAGCATATCCCCTCTAACTGGCTAGTTCGGACACGAACCATTAGCACGGACGCAAACCATGTGCGGTTACCGAGCGAAACGACGTAGTTGATACGCACTTTCTCAGGCGGCGCGTCGGAAAATGTGACACAGAAAAATTGACGAAAAATGCCGGGATGGCCTCTCTCAGGTTTCTCTCTGGTATAGCTTATCGTATTAATACCTGTGTAACGGCCTGACTTTATCGAACGCGGACTGGTTTACGGGATCGGGAGTTCGATGAAAGGCCCAGAGACAATAATCAATTTGCAATGTAACAGTAACATGCACTTTATTCAACTCGGGATTCGGTAGTATATACAACGAATGACTGGACGCGGTAGATTACAGTGGTCGGTAGTGCCGGTGCACGCGACGCGGTATACGAGATATCGGAACTCGAGTCTTCGCCTCGAGATGCGGTATGCAGAGGATAGAATAACGAAGCGCGGTACTTTACACACGAACGGAGTTCGTCGCGGTATAACGGTCTAAGACAATAACGAAACGCGGTATATTACATACGAACGGAGTTCGTCGCAGGGGATTAATACATTACATACGAACGGAGTTCGTCGCAAGGGAGTAATACATAACGGAGCGCGGTATATTACATGCGAACGGAGTTCGTTGCCGTATATTACGGGAAAATGACGCAGCGCGGTATATTACATGCGAACGGAGTTCGTCGCGGTATAGACGATAACGGAACGCGGTATATTACATACGGAACGCGGCTACAGATATCAGATATGCTATATGAACCGAATTAATACATAAAATAAACGGAACGCGGTTACAGAGATTCTATACGAATTATCGGCAGTGCCGGTGTGCCGAAATGCTGAAACTCGGTATATGATAGCTGAACGGAATTAATACAACGAAGCGCGGTATATTGCACCGGAGAATGGCGGAATTCCGGGGTCACGGTCGTGAGAACCCTCGCTGCGAGGCCCAGCACGCTCGACCCCACGGTGCCGTGGCTGTCGGGGTAAGTATCAGGGAGTTCGGAAACACTCTGAGAACCCTCAGTCGAGAACCAGAACTCTGGACCTCGTTGTGCGTGTCGCCCTAGGATTCGGAAGGTAGCTTCGTCAAGAATAGCGGAGAGCCGTGGTAAAGACGGAGTGACTCTTCGTCGAGCGCGCCGGCTTTTTATACCGCTCGGCGCGGTGAGCTTGGCAGGAGGGAGGCCGATCGTCAGGCGACGGCGCGGTGGTGGGAGCGGCGCGATCCCGCGTGCTCGCTTCGGCGGGGATCGGCTCGCTTCGGCGCTCGTCGGCGTCGTGCGGGAAGGCACCGGTGCGGCGGATTTCCCGCGCACACGGTGCGTTTCAAATGCTTAAAAAAATGTGGGCGCACCGCGCCCTGTCCTCGCCCGACGGGGAATCGGTCGGGCGGCTCCCGGCGGGTGGTAGCCGGGGACGATGCCTTGTCGTAAGGGGCGCATCGTTACACCTGACATAAATAAAAGGTATATTATTATTTCATACATACGATAAAATAACTATTACATATATGGTTCATAATATTAGCTAAACTTACCATAACATGTATTTAATGCGTCAATAGTCGTCTCCTCATTATTACAGCCATTGGTTAGCATCACAGATTCCTTATCATAACATGTATTTAATGCATCAACAGTCTTTTCCTCATTATTAGAATCTTTGGTTAGCATCACAGATTCACTGTTCTCGTTATTCTTATAGCTTATCGTATTAATATCTGACATAAATAAAAA